TACTCTTGGAATCGGGCTGGAACCAAGCCCTGAGATATCCAATCTCTCAATAGATGATATCTCTTAACAAAGTACACAATAAAATACTTACCCCAATAGCACACAGCAAAAAGGGGTTCAACTCAAGTCATGTAATCACCCCCATCAGCACACAGCAAGAGGGTGATACTCAACATAAGTCATGTATTCTCACATATGAAATCAAAACAAAGGATGGGTTTAGGTCGAATGAGATAAAGTACACTCTCACCTAAGTACCCATTTAACATATACAAGGCACTTTGACAATTTCACATCAATAAACAACCCAATTACTCACTCAAAAGTGTTAACTTGTAAAACAAGACACTTTATACGGGTTCACCGACTCCGTCCGGTCCGTCACTGCCTGTGACAGAAGATTATACTCAACTATCAATGAATCGACCATCACAACTGGAAATAAGGACTAAAACGATCAAAGCGGCAAAACGGCAAAGGAATGCACACGCGCGTGCGCGGAAATGAAAATGGTACAAAATAGGTTACACGATTTTAACCATAACTGGAGTTGTGGTTATCGGATCAAAATGTACTAGGTAGTGCCTCGAAACTTAGACAAAGGGTTACAACTTTCATGAAGACACCTCAACCCAGTTTTCAGTGTATCCAAGTCAAATTTGCAGATTACCGAACCAGAACTCCAAAAACCGGTTTATACCTCTAGTGAAAATTTGGCGGCATGCCCCTTGTGTTTACCTATTTTCTAGCCATTTATGGTTTCAATATTTTCCTCAAATCAGTCCCAAAATCACACACAAAATAATCTCATTTCAATAGCCGTTCAATAGACTCAATGTCGTACAAGTACAAAATCAAGCTAGGAAAATGTTCGGAAATGAAGTTTAAGTCATAAAACAAAAGACAGATTTGACGTCGCTTAGCGTATCGGACACAACCGAAGCAACGCTTATCGGATTGGGGTCCAATTTATACCGTTTCGAAGCTAAGATAAAGAACTACAACTTTGATGAAGATCATTCAGTCCAGTTCATAGTGTATCCAGGTCAAAATTTCAAATTACAGAACCAAAATCTCACAATCTGGCTAGTTAACCGCACTATGCGTAAATGACAATAACTCAGGCTACCGAAGTCCGATTGAGCCGTTTTTAGGGCCGTTGGAAAGCTAAGACATAGCACTACAACTTCTATGTTTTGGTCAAATGCTAATTCAGTACGGATCAGGGTGAACAGACGCGATCAGGTTGGTGAAATGTCAAAACTGGCCACAGAGCTCTATCTATGGCAGTCAGGGGTATTTTTGTCTTTTCACGTGATACAGTGCTCGGATTGAGTTGAAATTTTACAGGCAACTATAGCCAATTTCCCAAAATTGCGCAGAGCCTCCTGCAAAAATTTCTAGATTTTCTAACAACTTGAAATTATGAAACTTTTCTTAACAAAATTCACTTCCTTGGCTCAAATTCACCCATTAAAACAACCAAGAATCTAAGGCAAGTAAATTCAAATATGAGCTATAAAGACAAGTAAAATTTCGGGGTCTCACAAGAACGAGGCATAAATTAGCAAAAATACCAGAAAATAAAATAAGAAAAAAAATATTCTAACACCAATCCCCAATAACGGTGCCAAAAATTGACAGGTGTCAGGTCTATACAATAATAAATTCCTACTCTCAAAGATGGAAACGAGTACAATGGCAAGTAAGGTCATTTCTGCAGGGATTAGGAGGAAAAATCTGTTTCTTTTTAAGCAAATTCAATTAAAGGGGGTTTTGGGAGATTTAAAATTAAAATAAAGTACTTAATGAAAATAAAACTAATTAAACAAGAGTAAATTAAATTAATCCAAGGATTAACAAGTTCTAGCCAAGGAATTAACTCCAGAAGTGGTTCGTACAACTGATCATCAATGCAACAATCATCTCAATTATTCGCTAATAAATAGGTTATATTTATCATACACGCGATAAACAACTTCCTTTTTCCTAATGTCTCGATAGTTAAGGTTCGCCCGTTAACTACTTCCCTAATCAAGAAACAACCCTAGATACGCCTGTATAATTTAATTTCTTGCTTGCATTAAAAATTGAAAAAAACCATGTTCTAATCAATAAACGCACTACTATGATTTATTTAAATTAGATCGTACATCTCTCTAACGTGGCCCCAATCATATTAGTTGTTACTAATTTAAAACAATTAAACAATTACGTATTTAACTGTACTAATTGACAATAGTTTATTAGATTGAATTAAGTATCAGGCGCCTTTGATATTCAAACAACTAACAACCATGAGAAATTAAACCAGAAAACATACAAATACTAATGAATAAAGAAATTAATAAAATCAATTGGATCTCACAGATGTTGATGAACCAAACCCTTTATTATTTCTCGGCTAGAAAAAGGATTTAGCTACGCATCATTGGGGGAAATCCACAAGACTCCATTGATAACAATTGCATATGGTTTTTTTCCTAAAACTAACGAAAGATAAGAAGAATAATCAAACAAGTGACGGCCGTGTCTGATATTTCAAAGAATCTTCCTGAAATTGTTGCTGGCCAACTCCTAATCAAACGGGAATTCAGCTTTCCTAATTCCTCTTGTTTCCTACTTAACCTCAATTACTAATAATAAGATATATTCCTCAAAATAGAAAAAGGAAACTACTAAAGATAATATACCAAGTTTCCAAATCCAATAGTAAACTAATAATGAAAATTAAAGTCTTTAAAATCTTTCTCCAAAAACTGCCTTGAATTCGACTCGAACTTGGAAACCGACCGCGAATGCGTCATCATCAAAATAACTCTTAGAATGCTGAAAAATTGCTCCTTTTATTCACATCTCACATAATTCACTACAATTAGCACAATTAACCAAATATAAGTAAAATCTAGTAATTAAAATAATATTTGGCTAAAATCAAGAATAAATAATTATAAATTAAATAATAATTTTGCACCCTATCAAAGCACACTAAAATATATGCACATACTAGTTAAAAAAGGCGAAAACATCTTGATAGTTTTAGACACACAAAATTTACCAAGCATCCATCATCCTTGTTACAAGAAAAAATAAATTTCCAGAAGATATGACTACATACCAACACCGTCACATCTTTCTCCTCCACCACAACCACCACCTTCCTGCCACCTAATCTAGCACCACCTCTTTCACCATTACTCCTCTCCCCAACTCCCACATTCTCCCATCACTGCAAGCCCTTCCTCTCCTCTTCCTCTTAGCCCTTTCTTTTCCTTCTCTCTCTCCCTATTGTACTCCCCTCCTTTCTCTTCCTTCTTCCACCACCCCAACCCCTTTTCCTCCTTTCTCTCCTTCTCCCCCTCTTTCAATGCTTTTCTAAACTTCCAATGCTTTTCATCACTTCCAATGCTTTTCATCTATTCTTATTTATTCCATTCTATATACAACCTTGAATATCCAACCATATTTACCTACAGATTACTATAGACCTATGGCCCAAATTGACATCAAAACTTCACTACAACAAAAATAGCCTTTTCTGACATGCCTATAAGGACACTTCTGGTTTGTGTCATTATAGTAATCCTATCATGACACTTATTATCAACTCAATACTATATAATATAAATTTTTTTATTTTATCTAATATAAAAATAATAATGTGCCTTTAGACTACCTATCATGACACTTGAGAAAATGTAAGATGTACAAATAAAAAGATACAAAATGACAACGTTTAATTTTGGCAGAAGATTCACTTGCCAAAACACTTAGTGAAATACTCCAAAGTTTCATTTTGGCGGCCAAAAGACTCAGTGAAAATTTTCTTCCCCTCATCTCTCTCACCTCTCATCAAACAAGCTATCTCAGCCAAAAGAAAGTTGTAGGAATCCAAGCACCTTGAAAACCATCTTCATCTATCTAACTTCAACTGTTGTCCCTCGGCTAATATTGAAAACCATATGTTTCTTTGCGAAATTGGATTGATTATAAACAAACAGACAAAGACAAGCAGCCATCGCTACAAGAAAATTGGCCTTTAGTGACATCACTGTTACTAGCACTGTTTATTGACAACTTTCTCTTGTCGTCACTTATATTTGTTTAGTGGCGACTTATTGCTGTCATTATAACTTTCAATATATTAGTAATAACATATTGTCTTCACTTTTTTACAATTTCTTGCAATATATTTTTTTTTTGTCAGATGCTGCAATATACTACTAATAGCTTTGGATTGTTTATAATGAAACTATTTGATTGCCATATAATTTGAACATCATTATTTTCAATAATAAGATGTATCCTATTTTTGCAATTATGAGAAATTTGTATAAAATTTTAGCACCTATAAGAACTACTAGAAATGTAATAAAAGTACATTTTCACTCATATGAAATTAACAAATTTTGCTACCTATGAATTATGATCCAAATCTAGTTAAAATTCAAGGCAAAAAAAAGTGGCGCAAAATTTAAAATTCAAGGCAAAAAAAGTGGCGGACTCTTGTCTAATTGTCTTTTACTGTGTAAAAGCAAAACAAAGCTTTTCTAGCTAGTTTGGGAGTTTAGCAAAGAAAAGAAAAGAACAGAAACCTTAAGTTAGAAAAGAAAAGAAAAGATTATAATATCTTTTCTTGTTATTTGGGAGTTTTGGAGAAGGAAGGAGATGAAATAACTTTCCCTTGTTTGGAAGGGAGAGAATTGAAAAGACAAGATTCAATTTTACATAAAAACGCTTAACTCTTAAGATACCATGAGAATTTTATTAGGTTAAATAGTTATATTTTAATCTTTTAAGGGTAAAAATGGCATATGGTATAATTCATTTAACTCACTCCACTTTCTCACGTTTTCCGCCGATTTTGGGCAGAAAATTTTTCTGACGTGGAAAGGAGTTGACATCCTTCCGTTTCTTTTCAATTCTTTCCTATCCAAAGTCCCAAATGTCAGAAAGATTCAACTTTCCTTTGTAATCTTTTCTTTTCTCACCAAATCTGCTCTTCCAAACTAGCTATAGTGTTGAACTCTCTTACAAATCACCTCTACCTCACTTTCACTCAGACGCCCACTGTCACCTCTACCTCCACCTCACTACTGCAATCTCAATCTCTTTGACGATTGAAGACCAGTGAAGTACCATGGCTCTCTGCCATGAAGACCAAGTAATTCTCCAAGTGTCTGCAGCAAAGGTTAGTTCTTTCCCCCTCCTCTTTCTCTTTAAAATAATTTGCAAATATTTTGGCCCTAAGCCTTTTTTTCTGAAAATTTCTACCCGCATTCTTGTCGAATTTGCATTTACGGTGTAATTTTATGGTTATTTACATGATTAATCTTTTCATCCCTAGAAATTTTATTGCCCTAATTTTTAACTTAGGGGCAAAAATTGTTAAAAATTTTTGCCTTGTCATCATGAATCCCCTAGATTAATTGCATCATCTGCCTCTTGGCCCGCTTGGGAAGGACTTGCTACTTCCCAACCATTTTTTGCACAAAACCCAGCTACGACTGGACTTGGCAGGGGGAGAGTTGAACAAAAATTGACCAGCAGTTGGAAAATTTTGGTTGTTGTCGTTGGTAGTGTAAAATGTTGACCATACTTTCTGCTTCTTTCCCTCATTAGACAAACGTACCCAAAAAACTTAGAAAACATTAAATTAGATGTGTTTTGCCACTAGTTTTTGGGGTTGATTTAGTTTATCCAACAAGCTAATTGGAGCTTTGTATGGGTACGCAGAATTGGAACAGATGGGATGTTATGTGCTTGATCTAACCCTATTTTTTTCCCTCAAATTCAATCTGATTGAGTAGGCTGGGTATGTATCATATGGAGGGGTTGTTCATGACTTGAAATCTCCTTTGGTTATTCTTTTTCAGACTTGGGAGTTGATATTGTGTAGTTTGAGATGTATAATTTTAGGACTAGCTTAAAATTATAATCACACTTACAACTTATAATTCAGACTTTGGAGCTTTCTTTTGCATCTTCTGTGATGGGACACAATCTGCCTTGTTTTTTAATGAATTGTTGTTATTCGTACCTGACATGGTTGGAAAATTCAAGAAAAATGCTGAACAATCTGAAAAGCGCTTAGCTGAGTTGGAAATTCAAGTCCAAACTCAATAGCAACTTATGCGAAGGTGGAGAACTGACAAGCTGAAATGCAAAACCAACAAATTGAAATGCAAGACCTTCTTAAGGCTTTGAAAGTTGAATTGTAGTCTAGGAAATAGGGCAATGAGAGTATAGCTGGCAATGATAAATGGTAAACTATCTTTCTCATACAAGCATTTGATTTAGCCTCGCTTTTGTCTTTACTAAAATTTGGGGAAACTATTTTTGCAGGCTTTGTATCAAGAAACTTTAGCAATGAACGCCTCTCCAAACAATTTTACCTTAAAGAAAGGAAATGGAAACTCTGCACAGGAACAAAAACACACAGCTTCTTTTGAGCACTAATGCAGAACTTCCCTCATTTGGAGGTAAAAACTTTAAGACATTCCCTTTAGTATAGTTCAAATTTTTCGCGAAAGCAACGAATGCAATGCACATTTTGCTGTCCATGATTGCAATTTGATGTACTGAAAAGTTAATTAGGTAATATATGGTTTCACCATAAATACGAAAACAACCTAGTATAGGTTTTTTATTGAGTGATCTCTCTTATGTTTCCATTTTCTACATTCCCTGATTCATGAGGAAGCCAAGAAAAGATAAAACAAACTCCTGATTCATGTGGAAAACACTAACACCAAAAAGAAACTAAATTCTTGATCTACTAGGTAATTACATTAAGTATTTAAAAGGCCCTGGCCAAGGATAGGATAGCAATACATCATTAAGTTTTCCAGTCTGTGTACCAGAAGGGCTGCTTTAAGTCTTCTCTAAAGGTAAATCTTGGCTCGTGATTTTTCTTGAAACTGAAAAATATGTGTTTTAATTTTGTGGGTTTTTGGTATAAGCTTATCAAAGAGCGGTCTTTAGTCTTTCTGAGGAAGATTAAGGATGTTGCATGGCCTTTTCTGGATTTTAAGGATGGAAGTTAAGTACTAAAATGGGTTGATTTTGTACTCAGTTTTATGAATTAAAGAGGTTGCTTTTGCTTTGCCGCTGCATTTTTTGTAGTAATCATGTCGGTGGTTAGTGGTTGTACAGTAAATTGAGGACTAGTAGTTAGTTCTGGTTGATTCAATTGGGCCTACAGATAATGTTCATTAGTTCTTTCCATGTATTTGTTGTGAAAGGGTTGTGAAAATTGTAAATGTTCCAAGAACCATTTCTTGTTCTGTTCTTTCTTTTTTTGGTTTTCTTTTTTTTGGGGGGGTGGGTGGGGGGGAGAGGAGGGTCAGGGGGCAGGAGATTGTGTTTATTGGACTTTGTGGTTGGTATAAGAGGATGAGCAGTGTCATTATGGTTGTTGGCAAGTATGAGGTGGTAATTAATAGATGAAATTAAAGCTTCCAGGTGGGAAACTTTATGATCTTTTCTCTAGCTAATATTTAAGACGTAAATGTAACTAAAGCTTCATGATCAGTTATTGCTGCACATTTATGTATTGGCTTTATGGGCATTGAGTTGCTAATACTTATTCTGAAAGCTTTTAACTTTACACATTGATCTGTCCTGTAATTGCCGATATGAAATGCATGTAACTAGTTTTGTTAGCAGTTGACTTTATGTTACTGAGTGGATACAAGGTTTAGTTTTTCATTGATAGCAGATTGATCTTAAGTGTGAGTGAGTTGCAAAATTTCCCCCTGGAAGTGATTATTTCGTGGAATATAGAAATTTTGAACAAATTAAAATCCTTAGAATGGTTCCTAACTTTGAATCAAACAAAATGACATGGCTCATGGCATAACCTAGAGTAGCGGGAAAGGGGTTCATGTCTTTACATTGTGGCTCTTAGGTCTCATCATGAATGGCTTCACCTCTGGAATCATGGCAATTTAATTTGATCTTTAGCAAATACATTGTGGCTTTTCTGGAAAGCTCTTGTTAGTATGATGATCTAATAATCCCTGCAAACTTTGTGTACAGGTGGAACCAACTGAAGATTGATGGGGACTTCGTGGTTATGACTGAAGGCTCTCATTTCATTGGAAAGTTTGGAAGCTACTGTTAGTTCTTTCAATTTGTTGGGGATGAGAATCTTTTAGTTTGTGCACAATAGAGTATTTCAAGTTTGTGTACATGAGAATCTTTTAGTACTTGTTTGGGATTTTAGTACTTGCTATGTTTGTACTTGTTACCGACTTTTAGTTCAACAAATTATATTTGAGCATTGATTTTTTCTTTTAAATTACGATATGCATTCTACTCTTTGGGATAATTTTACAAGTTCTTTGGGGTTTTGATTGATGGAATGTACAGTAGGGAGCACTACTTGCTGGTTGCTTCCATATTAAAAAAAAATAGAAAAAAACTCCTGGCAATTAAAAGTAACAGCATAGCTCAACTTCTAAAGCAATATCTAATGACACATAGGAATGTCGTCCAAAGCAATGTAAATTGACTAGGCTAACTGTCCTTAAAAGCCATATATTAAGACAACTCAAGATGCCTTCATAGAATTCGATATCCTATTGATGTACTATACCTATCCTGACACTTTCGATTATCACGAGAAGCAATTTTTGTTGGCAGACGGGATGCTATAACAGTATAGTTTTCCTGATACATTTCAATGCTATGAGGCTATCCCCACATTGGAAGGAACGACACTCGTCCTAGGTGTGAGAAAAAGTAAAGTGTCAGGTTAGATTATCTATACTGACACTTTTAAATGTCGGTAAAGGTCATTTTTGTTGTAGTGCTTATTGACCAAAATCAATTACTTAGGAGTCAACCCATGCGAATTCGATTCCGGCTACCTAGGATATATGGATACATATATGTTACGTTGTAATGCAAATTGACTCAGGATCAAATAGAAAAAGCAACATAGGTGTGAATTTGTTTTCTCAACACCTATCCTTTCATGATAGTCATTTCTACTCCCATTAATGGATAGAAAACTAAAAGTTTTGTGACTACTTAAGAAGTAAACTCAAATTTATCCCTTCATTAGTCATTAATAACTTGCAATAAATCAATACTTATCATTTCACTAATTATTCTGGCTTTATTTCCTGTAAGTGGCACAAGAGATGTCTAGATACATGAAATTCCCAACATTTCCTTTTCTTTTGATTTTTCTAATAATCAATTCCTACTCTTAGTATTCAATATATCCTTATTATTGCATAATCAATTACTTCTAAATCAATGAATTTCATTTATAAAGAAATCATTACCACTAGCATACTTAAAATGTATTCTTACTGGTCACTAAATTATTCTAATCTAAATCTTATTTTTCTTCACATAACTAATAAAAAATAAAGAGTTTTATAACCACCACATAATAAATTCAAGCTTATCTCCTTCTTAATAATTGCATGCTTATCACTTTACTTAACATATCTTGTATTTATTTCTTCCTAATAAACTTATCTAGTTATATTCTTGAAGGTTTCTAGCAGTTCACAACTTAACCCAAATAGATCACAAATATGACATTAACAAATTTTCTTCTCAAATAAAAATTAGTCCCTAAAACAAGATGTGCTTCAAAGTAATATGTCTAAAGTTTGAATCCAAAATTGTGGGGTGTCACAAACTCTATATCTTTCATTCTCCTAATTTTGCTTACACTTTCCTTCAATAAAACATCTTTCGTTCACCTAGTTCTCCTTATACATGATTAATTTGGTTAAAAAAATTCATGGTTTGTTAAAAAAAATCCAAATAAGAAAAGGTTTTCCATATTTATGGCTTCAAAATACATTACACTACTAAACATATAAATAAAAGATTGTTCTTTTCAATAGTATCGGTTATGTTTAGTGATTGTACTATTTTTATTGTGCAGTACAAAATGGTTTGATTGAATTACATTTTCTATTATCAAGTAAAAAATGGGTTCTACAACTACAGACAATATGTTCCAAGCATAGTTATTAAACCCGGCCCGGCCCGACAGTTCAACTGGTCAACACGATGAACCGGCCATGAAACCGGGCTGGGTTTGTAATTGGATCGTTTGTGCAAGAAATCCGTTGACTTTTCAACGGACCGGCGGTTCAATCGATTGAACCGGACGGTTTTGTAAGGAACTCGGGGACGGTTTTGTAAGGAACCCGGTTTTGGGATAAAAATGATTAGAAGATGTTCCAATGCTGATTTGAACCTCAGGTCTCAAGTATAAAGGTTAAGCGCACTCACCACTAGTCCAGCAGCTCACTTAGTGCTTATTTACTCCTTGTATATTATATATTAGATTTTTATTCTTATTTTATTTCTTCAAAACAAAATTTGTTTGGAATCTTTTAATAAAATTTTATTATTCCCTAAATTCTATAAATTATGAAATGAATTTAAAAAATAACATATTACACAATTCATTTTAAAAATAAATATTATTCTTAATAACCTTTTGCACTTAAAATTCGTAAATAAATTAGATAATTACACTTAGATAAAATTTTATACTTGAAGTTTGGTGGATTACTAATTAAATTTAGGTTTTGTTAATTCTTATAAGAATTAATGATTATATAATAAATTGGACTAATTGAGTATTTACTATAATATAGTTTATTATAGTTTTAACCATATCAAAAATTATAAAACATAATATTTAAATATATGTAGTGACCCACCGGTTGGATCAGTCACCCACTGGTTGAACCAGTAACCCGTTGACCCACCTGTTTCACCGGGTTCCTCTCCGGGCCGGGTTTAATAACTATGGTTCCAAGTATTGAATGGTTCTCTAGTTGTATATGTATGGATGATTAAAAAACAAATTCAAAATATTAGAACTTTTTTTTGTTTGATGTACTACTTGCTATGTTAACTAACGGTACAAATTTGTTATTCCATAATACAAAATTGCTTCTTCCAAGTACATTCTTCATGATTTTATTAATTTTTTTCATATGATTATTTTATCAAAAAAATTTGCTAACAAAAGGTTTTATAGTTTTACAACTATTAATTCTTCGGAATAGTATAACGCATGTTAATTGATGGTATAGTTATCCTATTTTGGGGTACAACATTATTTTCTTGATTGTACATTCACTATTATCGAATAAAAGTAAGTATAACAATTGTATTTTTTTTCTTTTTTATTTTTTTGTTCTAGATCAAAAATCAAAAGGCTCTCATGTTCTAATAGCTATGAGTACTAAGTCAAAAAAAAAAAAAAAATCATTAGTACCATCTATGTCAAGTGATGGCACAATTTCTCTAGCTTTCGTTAATTTTCTTTTTCTACACAATTGTTAGTCAAAAAATTGAATATTCAAAAAATATCTCTAGTTTCACAATCACAAAATATTCAATTGTTAAATTAATAAGTGAAAAAATGATTTTTTTGAATTATAGCTATTGTTTAGTAAAAACATTTCTATCTTTTTCATTATTTCACATTAATGGTTGTACACAGTCTTTTCAACATAAAAAAAATGTTCTTTGGTTGTCTGTGTATGAATAATTAATATAGTAAGTTGAAATATGAAAAAAATATTTTTATACAATATTGTTATGTTAATTATTGGCTCATTTTATACTTTAAATATGGTTTCTACTAGTCTTTTTTTACTACAAGATTGGTTAGTGAAAAAAATTCAATATCCAAAAAAGACTATCTAGTTTTCCAATTACAAAATAATCAATTGTCAAATTCATAGGCCAAAAAATATTTTTTTGCCATAGTTCTTCTATATCCTATGATGGTATAATTTTACTATTTGGCAACACAAAATGGTTCCCTTGGCTATACATTCATTATTACTAAGCGAAAATGGATTTAGCTATTCAATATTTTTCTGATTCATAATTCTATCCAGTGTTACTTAATATGTAAATATGAACAATTACTTTTCTATGTAACAATTACATTCTCAATTGACAGTACAACTTGCTGTTGTACGATTGAAAAATAGCTTCTTGTTCATATATTGTTCACGAGTTTTACTAATTTCATATTTCCACATGATTGGTTTGTCAAAAGAATTTGAAATATCAAAAGGTTTTGTAGTTCTATGACTACAACAAAATTGAATATCCAAAAATCATAAAGAAAGAATTATTTTTTCACAATAGAATGATCCATTTCTGGTGGTGGTATATTTTCTAATTTTGAAGTACAAATTGGTATTACTGACTGTACATTCACTATTATCAATAAAAACTGCTTCTAGCCATTCTTTTTTCTTATTATTTATTTTTGCCTTTTTGGCTTTAGGCAATATGTCCAAACATCAAAAGGTTCTCCAGTAATATTTAAAGTACTACATCAAAAAAATTTCTTTTTCACGTAGTGTCTACTATGTTAAATGATAGTACAATCTTTTTTAATTTACAGTATAAAATGACTTTTACTAATTTTCCTTTTCTACACAATTGGTTAGTTACCAAATTTTCGAATACCAAAAAATATCCATGGTGTTATTTATAGAATATTCAATTGGCAAATTCATAAATGAAAAATTATTTATTTGACATAGTACCTTTCATGTTTAATGATGGTACAGTTTTACTGTTTAACAGTGCAAAATAGTTTTCTTAAATGTACAATCCTATTATTGAGTGAAAAAGTTCAAAACATTTCCATGTAGTACATTTTTTTTCTAACAGAGTACAACGCTACTTCTTAGTGGTATATTTATTGGTCATAATACCTTTCCTATTCAACGATAGTACAATTTTATTATTTAACAGTATAAAATGATTTTCTTAATTGTACATTTAATATTATCGAGTAAAAAGGTTCAATCATCCATGTAATATATTCTTTACTTATAGATGGTACAACTATAGTACGTTTGTGGTAAAATATGACTTCTTGCTGGTATATTTGATTTTCATCAAATAAAAAATATTCAAACCATTCTTTTCAGTAATCATTCATTGGCAACAGAGATTTGAAATATTAAATGATACCAGTTTTTTCACACACCAGTAATTAAACTACTAAGGACGAATGAAAACTTACTATTCTGTGAATCACCTTCAATTTTTAGTTTTAGTACTCTTGTGCTATGAAAATGCAAAATGGTCCCACCCAATATTACTAGCCAAACTTTTAAAAATCTTAATTTTAGAAATTGTAATTTTCTATGCAAAAAGAATAACTTAAAAAAATTATCAAAATTTAGATCTACACCAATGATCATAATTATACATTTCACACACTAGATAATTCATGAGTTTTTATGAAATTGAC